TATATTTTAATTATATTTTAATTATATTCTTATTATATTGTAAATATATTTAGCAAAATCAAAGGTTTCTGCAAAGTAACTATTTGTTGTCATTATAGTAGGCCTGGACGTCGAAATATTTCTCAAGTTCATTGATGTCAACATCAGAAGCAATATTGCCATTGATATCGAAGGTTGACACGTTCTCAACCTCTGTATCTTCAAATAATTCAGAATTTATCAGAATAGATCCATTTTCGTCTTTATTATCATTATCTTTTGGTTTACATTTCGGCTGATGTTTGTAATTAGGAAACATTTGCTTATGACGTTTATCAGCCTCTTTTTCCAAAACTTTGAAAGTTTTTCACAATTGGAAGTTGTCGACTCCATTCGAGTTTTGCATTCTCTGAAATCGTTTTTGTACTTAAATTTTTTGATTTATTACGATTTAAAAGACGTATTCTCTTATTATAGTTTTTACGAAAGAGGAGAGTTTTGGGGTCTTGGCAAATGTGTTAGACTTCTGCGACTTGGAGCTAATAAGATATCCAAGGGTAAAGCAAGATGATAGGGCGGATTCGCTACTTGTTGAGCTAAAAGAGAGTCATGATCATGTAAAGTTGGCGAACATATGAATGTTAGGGTATCATGGATAAAGTGAAATTGCATTATGAATAAGGATTGATTAACTCTGAAAGATTGAAGATAATACGTAACGTTAAGATATCTATTGATCGGGCTATTACTGAGATATTTCAAAACTTGCAAGTAAAAAAATACAGATATCAGATATATGTTATTGCAATGTTTTGATATTGTCTGTTCCTTATTGATGGTAAGCACCCATTTTTATCTCCTTTTATATAAAAATTTCTTTAACAACGCGTGTCACAGAAGTGGCTGGTGGGATCGTCGTGTGTGTGGTATAACCGTGAAATTTTATCCCCGTACAACCGTGAAATTTTAAGTTACACTCCGGAAATAAAAACCACGTACGTACGTACGTATGCATTTATTTCATTAATGCTAAATTATACGTAGAGCTAATGTTAGTAAATCATTACCCCATGCGTATGAACTTTCTAAATTCATCGATTAAGAGTGAATACGTAGAAGGTGTCTAAGGACCTTCGAGATGCGGAGGGAGGTAAGAAAAAAAAAAGCATCTTTATTAGTTAGTTATAACAAGTACTTTGTTACTTTTTCAACGTCACTTAGGAGCAAACTTTCATGTAACAGTTTATCGAGAAAGGCCCAATCAGTCGATATGAATAAAATGATTGCTGTTACCGATCAATAATGAAATACGCACCAAGAAAAACATTAAGATTGCATGCACTGTACAACCTTCGTAGTCATGATAATCACATTCAAATATCACAACATAATGAGTATATCCTTTCCAAGTTTGGGGGTCGTCTAGGGTTCAGGGCACGGATAAAAAATTGTGCATGCCTTAGGTCGAGGCATGCCCCTCATGCCCATGGGCACATCCTAAAAAGTTTATTGGTTAGTCAAATTTTAAACTTTAAATCGCTAATATATAGAACATATAATGAAATATTCACTCTACCATCCAATCAAATTTAATGCCCGAATCCTAGGGTCGTCTAAAGCATGTGATACAGAGCCATAAAACTGGTAGTTTTTATCGACACGGATCAGCCCGAAGAAAAACGTTAAAAATACAAGGAATGAGTATCTAAACCTACCTTGGGAATTAATAAAAAATGTCGGGGAAGCAATTTTACTATAAGATCTACCCCCACCCTAATCCTATACTAACTCTAATTAAAAAGTCAAAAACATATGATCGCACACGACTTTAGACGTACCCCAAGTTTGGATTTTTTAGAGTTTATAGACTGGGTTCACCGTACGTATGTAGGCTTTTTTGAAACGGCTACAATAAAACAGATTATTTAATTAGAATTACGGAAGCAGTCATTCAACAGTTCTACGATTCATGAAATTACATATAATTTTATGTGCTTGATCACAATATATTTTTATATAATTTTTTTACTCTATATTCAAGTGTAAGCACGGTTAAATATTTTTAAACATTGGAAATTATACAGTATATACAATTTGCTTATATGTATATTTTTAATTAATTTTATTGATAACTACAGTATTTCTACATAGATAAATTTGCTAATTAAATAAAGTCTCTCTATGTGGTTGATGATGCTAGGTTCTAATTAGCCATTGCGCAGTGAAATGCAAGTCACTCTCATTATAGTGAAGTTGTTGAGTTAAGGAATTTTCTTCACTATATCAAGATATTTATTATATCAAAAGCTCTTGATATAGTAAATTTTATATTTAAAATAAAAAAATCTTCACTATATCGAGAGACTTCTATATTAAAAATTTTTAATAATGAAGTTTATATATAAATTTAAAAATCCTCACTATATTGAGAAAATATTTAAATTAATGTAATTGGCTAAAAATTGGTTTATATATAAATCTTCATTATATCAAGAGTAAATTTATTATAAACGTATTATATTTTTTAAAAAAAATCTTCACTATATCTTATATCGAGAGTTTTTAGGAAAACTTCTTTATATCGAATGAAATATTAATAGTTTTGGTTTTATCTAAAAAAAAAATCTTTACTATAAGCCAATCTTCACTATATCAAAGGTTTACTACAGTATAACGAGAGTGACTTGTAATGCGCAAACTGTGCAGTGACCCATTCCTAGTTCTAATTGTGTTATCTATTTTTAGGAACCATTTAACTTAATTGTGTGGGTTCAATTGGTTTATGCAAATAAATTGATATTATTATTGAATCAAAGTTTCAAAGTTACGTTTGATGCACATGCCTTTATACGATTCATTTTTAGAAAAGTTCTCTTTGTTAATTTTTTTTACCTTTGTTAATTTTTTTTACTAAGTCAAATATATTTAACAATAAAAAAATAATCATATAATGTATGCAGAAGCTCACCTTCTAAGCAAGGTACTCTAAGTTGTGGATCTTTTTGAATTATTTTGTATAATAACTGTTGGCCAACCCTACGTGCTTTCAGAGTCCGAAAACAATTGCATGTGTTGATCATTTTTATCTACTAGAAATGCTAGTCTAAAAGCACGTTTTTATAAAAAGACTAATATAGCAATTGTGCCACTATGAGCCACAATGAGAAATTCCGCAAAGTCCGATTTTTCCGAGACTGCACCGGATCAAGCGGCCAAACGGCCAAATTATCGCTATCGTTATTATAGGTTCAATTCCGCGGAACTAAAGGATATGGGTTAAAAGAATAAGTTATTTTGTAAAAAAAAAAAAAAAATCACCATTTCTATTCTTTAATATTCCTCTCGGCAAGAACAAAATGTTGTCACAACTAATGCATTATTAAGGGTATTTGAATTACAAATCTTTCCAAAAGCACGGAGTTTGGTAACAAGGATTGACGATCGATCGCTTTGTATATTCAAATTTCCGTTCAAATACAAATAACTCTTCTAAATTTGTACTAAGCAGGGACCTTGGACAGATAAATCTTTTGATCACCAGTAACGACGTCATTTTTATAACTAAAATTGCCTCATTTTACTATGCATTAAATTAATTTTTTCGCTCGTGCTACATTAAAATTCCTTGCTACATATTGTGAGATGGTATCATAATTTTATAAGACAAACGGCCGAATGAGAAAGAGAATATAAATATCCAACAAAATATATGCATTATCGATAAATTGGCAAAGAAGATTTTAATTATGTATCTTTTAACAAGATGTTAGGGTTAGAGTCTATGATAAATGAGAATTCAAGAATGCACGTTCGGATTAATTGCTAAAGTTTCATAATTATCGAATAGGATTTTTAGATCCTATATTATTATTAATTATTAAGAACTGCAAGTAATTTTCTTTTGAGATTTGGCTCGCACAGAAACAAGTCCGGCAATTAATTATTTTGTTGTCGAATTATAGATGTTTCTAATTACACGATTTCACATATAAACACCTCATTTTTAACGCCCAAGAAACACTGAATTCATACAAAATGAATTACGATTCCTCTAACGATTTTCAAGCGTTGTGTAATGAAATTATGAACGACCCTTCAAGAAACACGGAATTTACAAACGAAATGTATAACGAGAATATCGATATTCAAACGTTTTATGAGGAAATTATGCACGGTGAACCTACCTTATCGCTTTTACAAGTTCCAAAAAACACGGGATTTACCAACGAAATGTATAACGAGAATATCGATATTCAAACGTTTTATGAGGAAATTATGGACGGTGAGCCTACCTTATCGCCTTGGCAAGTTCCAAAAAATACAGGATTTACATACGAAATGTATAACGAGAACCCATCATTTTCATCCAATTTTGCCAATACCTTATCGTCTTGGCAAATTCCAAGAGATACGGGATTTACATACGATATGTATAACGAGAACCCATCATGTTCATCCAATTTCGCTAATATCGGTCTTCAACCGTTTTATGAGGAAGAAATTATGGATAACACACCTTGTGAACTTACCTCATCGCCTTGGCAAGTTCCAAAAAACGCGGAATACTCAATGAAAAGGTCTACCGAGACCAAATTCGTCTTTGAGAATCCATCATGTTCACCCGGTTCCCTGAACACCGATCTTGAAGCGTTACTTGACGAAATTCTGAAAGACACTTCTTATAAATTTACTTTACCTCTAGACGAACTGCTTGCTTCACGCGAACAAAGAGGATCACGAAACCCGCCTAGAGCACAAAATAAATTCATTTTATATCGGAAAGATTATACTGCACGAATGAGAAAAGAGAATCCTAATAGGACAAAGTCAATGACAACGCGTGACTTGTCGAAGGAGGCGAGTGTAACGTGGAAGTTTGAATCTGCGAAGGTGAAACAGTTATTTACTGTTTTATCCGAAATCGCTAACGAAAGGCATAGAGTGAAATATCCGGGATACGTCTATATGCCTGAGAAAAAATAAAGTAAATAGGAAAGTTCTTCATCTTCATCGGATGATATTAACAACGAGTTTATGAATAAGATAGATACTAAACTAAATTTTGGCAAGTTTGGCAATCGTTTTTGTTGCATTCGGTTTTTTATTTTATTAAATCGAAAAATAAATTCCGTTTGTTCCTAAATTTAAATTTATTGAATATTAAAAAATTTCCTTGGTATTTTTTTCGTTAGTATCTTTATCGTTTGGTACCAGATTTTTTATTTGTAGACATTATTTTTTCATTTTTTTTACGCTTTCTTTATGCCGTTAGAAGCTAACTCTTCGGTTGACATCATCCCCCAGTTGAATGTCACCCGAACCAATCCTACACCAAGAATACCTCAAAAATCAGCCAATCAGATTTCGAGATCAGGTGTAACGTGAAAATCAAAACAATCAGATAAACGAAAGATTTAAAGTAATAAAACCTTAAAATCAGGGATAGCTTTAGTGCTTAGGGCGAGCTTACGTTATATTATATACCAAAATTTTGCGAGGAAAAGTTTTTTTTTTTTTTTTGTTAGAACACAAAAGGGCAGTTTCATAGGGAAATTTCGAGCTAAAACCAATTTCACGTTACACCTGATCTCGAATCTGATTGGCGTGCAGTATTTCTGGAGGAGTTCTCATCAATCACATGAGTTACGTCTACCAATAAAATTGGCCCATATACTTCGTGAAATAAAATGATCATTTAAGATTATCATCTTCACCCGGGACAAGACCCGGGTCTCTTATATTCCACCAAAAAAATTATTAGGGATGTTAACAGTCCGATTCGGTCTGGCTTGGTCTATGTTTAGCTCAGTTTGGTCCAGTCTTTTTGGTTTAATTACGGTTCAGTTCTAAGATAGTTTAGAGAGCCAAGAATTTAACTTATTGTCTAAATTCATAATAGGAAACCGATCTAAAATCGCTCTTTAAAATGAGCTGTTCGTGGTCCAGACTTCAGTCTGAACACATGAACTTCAGTTCGAAGTTATAATAAAAGATCGGTTTTAAACTGATCTTTAGAATATACATAAGAACTAGTTCAGAACCGGTATAAATGACTAAGTGGTTTTGTGACCAGTCTTAAGACTAGTTTAAATCACAGCCTGGACTATTTTAAGACTAAGACTAGACCGAATAAGATCAGCTTCTCGTAGGTTCAGACTGGTCCTATGACGGACTGCAGTCTATTGTCCAAGGCCGGACCAGATAATATCTCTAAGAAAAATAATTAGTAAAAAATGAGTGTAATCTGGTATATATGTGAAATCTTGTATATGCACTTTTACGATATCTTCGAGCGATTTAATTAAAATCTCTAGACTACAGCTGTACAGTTGGAAATTAGTTCGTCATAATAGATTTGTTACTCCAAAATAAGTTGTTCATTTTATTTGTTCGTTTCATTTCGCCATCCCAAGAGTTTTAAAAGTGATGTTAACCGAAAATTTACAGTAACTTCAAGCGGCCTTATTCCTATTAATAATTATTAATATAATGATATGTTGTTAATAATGCTGTAAAAAGGTTAGTAAAATTTTAGATAAAATGATAACAAAAGTTTATGCACTGTGGTCATATGTCCAAATGTCGAATATATTACCAAAGCTGGATCATTTTTGTAGAGCTTATTACAATGAACAATGTCACTGGTCAGATTTTCAAACTTTTGCTTCTATGACAAGTTGAAGAGTTTTAAATTTCGCATTATGTTAGGATTATATATAAATATTTTCAAATCGTTTAAACTTTTATGCAGATTTTTTTTAAACTGATAGGTGACTTTATAGAGCTATGTTGCTCTTTGAAAATTACACGGCCACGTGATCTATATCTAAGTTTCTGGTACTGTAACAAGAAATTGTAATGATTTTTTAATATTTACTGTCAAATTGATTAACGGTACTAATATCATCAGTGTACGTAACCCATCATAAGCTTTCAGACATTCCAAAATGAGGCATAATTGTAGCCAATAAACGTTGATATAGGGTTCTGTAATATGCAATACGTACGTACGTACGTACATACAGAAGTAATGCCGCCGGCAATTTTATTAGTTTATTGTTATTATTAATGTGATAATGTAATTCAATTCTGTGATATTTATATCCAATGAATACTTTGAGAGACAGCTTATTATTTAATAGATTTTCTCTCATGTTAGCATATTAAAAATATATGATTATTATTACGAAAGTTTAAACATTATGAGTTGTAAGAAACAGTTCGACTGAATAGAATTTATATTATTGGTTAGAGTCCATTATGCATTTTTTTGGGATCTGTGTCAAATTTTATTTACTCGTGTAGTACAAAACCCCTAAAAAGAAAAAAAATCCAATCAGCGAGTTCAATTTTTAATGATCCCGACATAGAATCCGAACACGTGCAAAGAAAAAAAAGCAAAGAAAGCAAAATACTCAAAACCTAAAAAAAATTTTCATACAGGAGGTGACAATCTAATGTCCTTCTAAACTAAACTAACTCCCTAACCTTAAATTTCTCGTACTTTGTTTATTTTCACGCGTAAATAAGTAAAATCATGTAGCACACTGCATGATGTGATACATAAAAACAAAGATCCCTTGTCTATTCCTGCATTTGAAGTAACGTTATCTCAAAATTTTATTTATTTTTGGACCATTTGCATTTCCTTAAATATAGTACTACTATGAAGTACTCATTTACGCCTGAAACTTTATATCAGGATACACAATATCTCGGTGCATTTTAATTGTAACCCGATATTTTTCAAAATTATCTCAATTATCTTATAATATCTATATAACTTACGCTTTTACTGTTCTCGAAATGGTTAAGCGTACAAATATCATGCCTATGGAGATGCTAGACCGTGTTATATTGGCATTAGATATATTGGATCAACATTTAAGATTACTCGTAGAGAATTTGTCGGCATTCATGCTCCGTATTTAAAAAGAAGAGTTAAAAGTAAATGCTGTATTTATAGTTTCAAGTCTTTGACTACCTTATTTTGTTTTGTCAATCTAGCGTTACACTTTTCTTTGCTTTACCTTAGTTAAATCGCGCAATATTACAACTCCCCTTAATTCTTTCTTTCGTAAATTTAGTTTGAATTTATGTGTTATGTATTAAATTAATTGTTATTTTAATGACCAGTTATGTAAATTTCAGAACGATGAAAGATTGGCTCATTTGGCTCATCTGAGAAAATAAATTTGAAATTCTTAAAGCCAATTATTAGTGCCTTATATAGACGGTTTGTGAAAAGTATTCTCGTGGTAAACTTTAGTTAACTGCTGGATAATATTATTAAAAAGTGTACTGTATTTGTATAACTTTGAGATGACGTATTAATAAACAGATTTTTGTATCATAAATCGTCAAGACTTCTTAACCTTAAATTAATTGTCCGAAGCGTAGTGAGGACTCAATTGTTTATGCAAAGTTTGATGCACGTTCATGCAATGTTTGTCGTATACGACCAATGAAAATCAAGTCCCGTGATGATCTGCAGTCAGTATACCAAATTTCCATGCATGATCTGCAGTCAGTGTTAAGTAGGGATGTTAAAAGTCCGGTCCGGTCCCGACTCGACTCCAGGAGTCGAGTTTTAATTTTGACTCGGTCCCAAGTCAGACTTGGGACCGAGTCCTATAGTCACATGCAATATTAGATATCACAGGATCATAAAAATTTAATGATAACGATAACG